TGAAATCATGACCTCCATGAACTGAAAAATGGGACACCATTACCTACTTTTGAAATTGTTTTGCTTTGTCAGTTGATGCATCTTGTGTTCTCATAGAACTTTAAATGAAAAATCCGTCATCGTGACATTCTTTTCAAAGTTTATGGCTATATTTGATTACTATTTGACTTAAAATCATCAAACTTTGTTAGTTGATGCATCTTGGGTCCTCGGATTGCGTCAACTCAAAAGGGATAACCATGATCTATTTTTGAAATTCTATGGATATATATACATATATATCAGGAACTAATTTATTTAGAATCATCAGATTTGTCAGTTGATGCACATTGGGTGCTTTCAGAATGTTAACTGAAAAGTAGGTACCTGTGACCTACTTTAAGATCTTTACAATGATATTATGAAATTTTGAGGTACAAATGTGTTAAAAATCATCAAACTTTGTAAGTTGATGCATCTTGGGTCCTCAGAGTGTGTCAACTGAAAAGTACTGTACGTATACATAAATTGGCATATTCAGATTTAGCGCAATCACTGAGTATTGAGTTGTTGGCGTATTCATGAATTTGCGCTACACTTCTGCGCTATATATGTTATTAATATATGTATTTTTGATATATGATTTCTTAGTGGTATTCGAGAATTAACACAACAATATCCACGCCAAAGACGATGGAATATAAAGCCCACTTTTTAAGTACACACAGTAGGTTACCATGGCCTTATTTGAAATTTTACGGTTTGAATTAGTTATTGGCTTTGAATACTCTAACCTTGTTAGTTGATGTATTTTGAATCGTTAGAATATGTTTACTAGAAAGTAGGTCACAGTGAACTACTTTTGACATTTCAAGGCAATATCTAAATATTTCAAATAATCAGAAACTGAAATTCACCAAATTTTGTCAGTTAATGCATTTATTTAAGTATTATTAAGTTCAAGATTTCCGGTGTTGCGCAAGAGGGATTGAAAGAAAAATGGCGGTTTCCGGTAAACATTTCAAAATAAGGTACACATTTTTGTTATGCCCCGCCATGAATATGGCCGGGGCATATAGTGTTTGTCATGTCCGTCTTCCTTCTGTCCTTCCGTCACACTTTGCATTTAGCTCTGCTCAAAGCTAAGTTTCAAAGAAACCATCCAAGATATTTTCATCAATCTTCATATGCTGATAGATATTGATGAGAGCTATGCAACTGCATCAACATTTATTGACCTTGACCTTTCCTTTGACCTTGACCTCACTTTTGTTAAATTAGTGTTTAGCTCAGTTTTAAACATACCATTCAAGATAGATTTATCAAACTTCACATGTTGATACAAACTTGCATGGATGATGCATCTTGGGATGAACACCACCAGACTTGCTTCGGATGCTGGATCTGACCTACATTTTCCAGATGAGTGACCAGATTTAAGTTTTTGGAGCAGGTCCATTCCTAAGGAATTATAAACCCTACTTGGACCAAACTTGCATGGATGATGCATCTAGGGATGGACACCACCAGACTTGCTTCAGATGCTGGATCTGACCTATATTTTCATTCCCAAGTAACTATAAGCCCTACCTGAATCAAACTTACATGGATGATGCATCTAGGGATGGACACTACCAGACCTGCTTCGGATGCTGGATTTGACCTATATTATCATTCCCAAGTAACTAAAAGCCCTACCTGAACCAAACTTGCATGGATGATGCATCTAGGGATGGACACTACCAGACTTGCTTCGGATGCTGGATCTGACCTATATTTTCATTCCCAAGTAACTATAAGTCCTGCCCAAACCAAACTTGCATGGATGATGCATCTAGGGATGGACAATACCAGACTTGCTTCGGATGCTGGATCTGACCTATATTTTCATTCCCAAGTAACTATAAGCCCTACCTGAACCAAACTTGCATGGATGTTGCATCTAGGGATGGACACTACCAGACTTGCTTCGGATGCTGAATCTGACCTATATTTTCATTCCCAAGTAACTATAAGTCCTGCTCGAACCAAACTTGCATGGATGATGCATCTAGGGATGGACACTACCAGACTTGCTTCGGATGCTGGATCTGACCTATATTTTCATTCCCAAGAAACTATAAGCCCTGCCGGAACCAAACTTGCATGGATGATGCATGTAGGGATGGACACTACCAGACTTGCTTCGGATGCTGGATCTGACCTATATTTTCATTCCCAAGTAACTATAAGTCCTACCTGAACCAAACTTGCACAGATGATGCATCTAGGGATGAACACTACCAGACTTGCTTCAGATGCTGGATCTGACCTACATTTTCCCATTGAGTGACCAGGTTAAAGTTTTTGGAGCAGGTCCATTCCTAAGGAACTATACGCCCTACCTGAACCAAACTTGCATGGATGATGTATCTAGGGATGGACACTACCAGACTTGCTTCTGCTGCTGGATTTGACCTATATTTTCATTCCCAAGTAACTATAAGCCCTACCAGAAACAAACTTGCATGGATGATGCATCTAGGGATGGACACTACAAGACTTGCTTCGGATGCTGGATTTGACCTATATTTTCATTCCCAAGTAACTATAAGCCCTACCTGAACCAAACTTGCATGGATGATGCATCTAGGGATGGACACTACCAGACTTGCTTCGGATGCTGGATCTGACCTATATTTTCATTCCCAAGTAACTATAAGTCCTGCCCGAACCAAACTTGCATGGATGATGCATCTAGGGATGGACACTACCAGACTTGCTTCGGATGCTGGATCTGACCTATATTTTCCAAACAAGCAATTCAGCTGCATCACTTTTCAACTTCTGATCAAATTTTATACACATACAAATTTTCATGTTGCTTTACTAATACATCCTCGGCGGGGCATTCATGTCCTATGGACATATTTCTAGTTTCCAGTGAATTTAGGTGTACCGCCGTGAGCCCATGAATGGGGTCGAAAATACATGACATTTTGTGTACCGCCGGTACATATCACATGCATGATTTAAGGGTCTTGGAGTGTCTTGTCTAAAACGTAGGTCACAGGGACCTACTTTTTTGAATTTCATGGATATAGCTAGTAAGGGGGTTAGAATCATTAAACTTTGTCAGTTCAGAGTTTTTGAATTAAAAAAAAATTCACTGGTCAAGTGGACCAGTGATTTAGTGAAATTTACCGGTCCACACAAATATTTACTGGTCCATCAGTATACATATATTTAAAAAACCCTGAAAATTGTATTAATTCCAGTTGGGTTTTGAAAAATTAATGGGGTCAAACATCCCGGACTGAATTAACCTGGTGTGATATTTACAGTGGATACCCAACATGGCTGTCTACCGCAGAAAACGAAGTTTTAAATGTTGTGGGGAAAATGTTTAATGTAACAATAAATGATTATTACTCTTTATATTTAAGGTAAATGATAATTAGGTTGACATATGTTGCATCCCAAAGTAAAGCAAAAATTAACTATCTTTGTACAAATTGAATCAGCTGACTGAGATAACACAGATATGGAAGAAAAAAAGTCCCCCAGGGGTAAATTTGAATGACTCTGATTTTCTTCTACAGAATTTATTAGGCCATGGCACTGCCATTTTATGAAAAACTAACTGTTGTAAAAGTCCTTGAGTTTATTCTATCACAGACACAGATTCAATCCTTTTGACAATCTCACAAGTAAACTAAAATTCCGGAGAAGTCAATTTTTTTTACCGGTCCCTCGGACCGATTACATGAAGAAAATTACCGGACTTTTAAAAAAAATTACCAGTTTTGCCAGTGGGACTGGTGGATTTCAAAAACTCTGTTAGTTGATGCATTTTGGGTTCTCAAAGTGTTTTAACCAAAATGTAGGTTATGAAAGCCTACTTTTTAATTTTAAAGTGTTATCTTAATATGCTGCATTCTTAGAGACATTACTGTAAACCGACTTTTATTCGCGACGACTTTATTTCGCGATTTACCAGGGATATACTAGTTCGCGACGATTTATTTTCGCGCTCAAGCCTTTTTGGGTCTGTTGTTTATAGACACATACACTTTAAGGACCGGTTCGCGGCGAGAAATATTCGCGATGTCGAGACGTTCGCTAGCTTCGAGAAAATTTCTCGCACGCGAATTAAAGTTGGTTTACAGTATATTGAAGTGAAGTGATATGTTGTACAATTTATCAGAAGAGGGATTCAATGCTCTGTATTTTATTCTTCAGAACAACAGTCAAGGAGAGTTATAAATCTTGAATATAGTAGTTTTCAATTTATTTTGATCCTTTTTTCCAGGTATAGTGAAGACACTCTTCTTTTTTTGGTCAAACGCTTTATGTGTGCATAAAAATACCAAATGAACAATAAACATATCCGCAATTTGTTGATTGTTTTTCACACTGTGTTACCAAAACAATGAATGATATTGTATTTTTTTTAATGAATTTTCTAAATGTATGAAATGATTGTACTCTACTTTGAGAAATTCACATACCTATAAACCTTTATCAAGTGTTATTACTATTGAGCAAGTTGAAAAATTAGTTGAAAGGCCAGTACATACTGGACTTGTACTTCACCCCTGAAGCATTATAGGGCCTGGACACAATAAAGAATTGAATTTATACAAAGCAGTGTATAGCAAAGACCTTTTTAAAAATCTCTTCTTAAGAATGGCAAGGCCATAATTTGTAATATTGATAAAGAAGCATCTTTGAGTAATGTAGATTCAAATTAGTTCAAATCCTGCCCCCTGAGGGTAGGGCAGGGCAACAATAAAAGATCATAAAAAGATTGTGAATATAAAAAAAATCTACTAAAATCCTGATTAGTCAAAGAAATATGAAAACATTCTAAGTTAGTAAAGATTCAACTTAACCCTTGGTTCCCCCTTGGAGAGATAGGTTGGGACCACGTGTATATTTAAACTTTTCAGTTCTTGACTAATTTCTTCTGCTTTTTCTCTAGTCCAAAAAAAAAAAATATCGTGAGTGTTGTGGTACATGGATCTCTTGTTTATTTTTAGATGGAAATGCAGTTTTGATGTGTCTTCTGCTTTGCCCTTCATACAAAATAAATCTGGAAGAACAACACTGGATAAAGAAGTATAATGCTGTTGCTGAAGTTTTCAAATTCAAGAAGATTGAGATGGCATCCAATCTTAACATCTTACAGGAGTACAATCCAATATTGAAACAGGATAGTGTGAATGTTGAATTTTCCCATGAATTTTTTAGGGACCTTAGCTTTCTTAGATTTGCAAACGATCAAAAATTTGTGAATATGTTTCTGGATTGGGCGGAAAAAGAAAACATTGCAAAGTACTGCAGATCATCAAATTATCTGAGAAAAGAGACTGAGGAAGAAGTTTGCTGTTGGTTATTGCCAAATCAAACAGAACAACTGATAGAAAGACTTGGAGAAGACATGTTCACACATGCAACGATGAATGACCAATCAATACATGAATTAGTGTATACCAAGCGTATGTTTCTAATAGTTGTTTTCATACATAACTTTATCACCATATTAGTGTAAATGATTTTGAATTCAGTTTACCTGAAAGTTTTTTCTACTTTTACAATTTGAAGTTCAAACAGTGTCAGAGCTACAGTTTTATGAGAAATGTTTTCTTGATTATAGTTGGCATACCAGTACAGGTTATAATGAGGGGCGATGAGTCAGTGAGGAATTTCTTGGACAATCTGAAGAAAGGGGAGACGACCATGTACCATGCCTCTGGGATGATCATTGGGTGTGCAGGTAGTGGAAAGTCAACCTTACTAGAAAGACTGAAGGGCACCGACCTGAAAGAAATTCTGAAGAATTCAACATCGACCAGGGGCATTGACGTACAGTCTGACATTTTTGATGTAACAGACACCACAGTCCGAGGTATGGCGTGTTAATGATTTCCGGGCATTTGATTTTAATTATGATAGAATTAGTAGAGTTAATCAAGTTTGTTTAAAAAGGTATCAAATAAGATTCTTGTCAACAACAGAATAGTAATAATTAGTCGTATTAATTTGAAAGCATCCTAATATATATATAAATCAAGCCATGATCGGTCAAATAACTGCTTAAGGTAGTGTACATTCAAGGTTGTTCAAAATTTACCCCTGCCCTTCTCTCCTGGGACCATATATTTTAATTTTTCATACTGAACAGATTTCTGCTTTTCTTCAATCAAAGTACTTACATAGTGATGCAGCTCATGTGCCTCTTGTACTTGTTGCTATATTAAATTTCAGTTTGTAACTCAACAATTGTAGGGTGTGGTGTCCACTGCCCCTTCAGCTTTTTAGCATTTCAACTGTTGACGATAATACAATACCTAGTAAATGAAGAGTACAAGATACCCTCTTTTCAAATAATATAAGCTACTATGTACCCTGGCTTAAGCGAAAAAAAAAACGAAAATGCATTTTTTTTATCAAAGAGTTAAAAAGGAAAGAAACTTCTTGATTTTATTTGAATAATTTGAATAATTTCTTCTCGCTTTCTTTTCTTTTGCAGTAAACACCTCAAACCAAAGACAACGCTTTCAAATTAAAATTGATGAATCAGGCGAACAAAAGACTATTTCAAATCAGCCTGCAAAATTATCTGGTGACATGAAAAGGCTGGACATCAATGAGACAGGGGATCAGATGGATGCAGCCAGTATAGCAAACGAACAAGACTTGGTCAGTGATGAAGAAATTACACATGAGAGCTTGGATACAGATTCTGAATCACATAAAAGGAATGAAGCTGCTGCCTTTGTGGAAAAAGAAGAGGAAGTCGTTGAAGACAGCAGACAAAATGTTCCTGAGAAATCAGAAATATCAGGAATATTACGAGTTTCCAAAGATGTTTCAGCTGATCCAGAGAAAAAAATTACCATGGTGGACTTTGCGGGACAGTGTTCATATTATGCCTCACACCAGATATTTCTGAGTCCGCGGGCATTCTTCATTCTGGTGCTGAATATGGAAAAGAAGTTAGATGAAAAGGTTGGAAAAGAAGTCTGTAGCCAGGAAGGTTCCGTTTACGAAGGCTGGACACACAAAGGTATGTTTTAGTTACATTATTAGTTGTATAGTGTGTGATAAATCAAATGATATACTACACGATACTAGTATGTTAAATCTATCTGCTTAGTTTTTATACACATTTCGATGCAGAGTTTATCTCAAGAAATGTATAATTTGTATTCATTTCCAGGATTGTAGAAAATTTTTGTACTAGTTACCCTAAACCTACACAGCTGTGAATGACAATTTATGTCCGTTGCTGAACATTGCTATGTAAAATGTAAACAAATCACCATTCCCCCCTCGCTTTAATACAAACTTTTCAATCAAGTGGTCAGGGCTTCCGCTGCTTATAGTATATAGTTTTAGATTGTCATTTTTTTTTATAGAAAATCCTTTTTATTTCACCTGAGCCGAAAGCTCAAGTTTTTTCAAATCACATTTTGTCCGGTGTTCGTCTCTCTTCTGTAAACCTTTCACAATTTCTACTTCTACTCAGGAACCACTGTGCCAATTTCAACAAAACTTGCCACAAGATATCCTTGGGCTTGGAAGATTCAATTTAGATCAGAAGAAGGGCCATGCCGTCTTTCAAGGGGAGATAATTAGTTATTATTGAAAAAAACATTATGGCATCTTTTGAAAATATTCTCAAGAACCACAGGGCCCAGAAAGATGAAATGTAAATGGAATCATCCCCAAGTAGGATAGATTTGCGTAAAATTGTTCGAAATAGGGTGGGATGTACTTTCAAATTTGTTAGAATCATGACCCGTGCAGTAGGTAGGGACCATATTGGACGATCAAAGTTTTACATAGAAAATATAAGAGAAGTCTTTCAAAATCCTCTCAAGAAAAGCAACGCCACGGTTAGACACATTTATATGAAACTTCCGTAAATTCAAGTTAATTCTAAGCATGACCCCCAGGGGTAGGGAAGGGCTACAGTGAAAATCCAAACTTGTAAGAAAAAATATCAGAGTTTTTCAAAAATTATGTAAACATCCTTAGTGTACATTCAATTTTGTTCAAATCACAATTCCCTCTCCCTTGATGGGACAGGTTTTTACCATTTATGCATTCAAGCTTTTCTTTACTAAACTGATTTTTCCTTTTTAGCTCACCTGAGCCAAAGGCTCAAGTGAGCTTTTCTGATCACATTTTGTCCGGCATCCGTCTGTCTGTAATCTTTTGACATTTTCGACTTCTTCTCAAGAACTGCTGGGCCAATTTCAACCAAACTTGCCACAAAGCATCCTTGGGTGAAGGGGATTCAAGTTTGTTCAAATAAAGGGCCACGCTCTCATTCAAGGGGAGATAATTGAGAATTAGTGAAAATTTGGTGGTATGTTTTAAAAATCTTCTTCTCAAGAACCACTGTGCCAGGAAAGATGAAACTTATGGGGAAACATCCTCAGGTAGTGTAAATTCAAGTTTGTTCAAATCATGACCCCCAGGGGTAGGGCGGGACCACAATGGCCGACCAAAGTTTTATATAGAAATATATAGGAAAATTCTTTAAAAATCTTCTTCTCAAGAACAGCAGAGCCATAATTGCTCATATTTATATGGAAGCATCCCCAGGTAGTGTAGATTCAAGTTTGTTCAAATCATGACCCCCAGGGGTAGGGCAGGGCCACAATGGCCTACCAAAGTTTAATATAGAAATATATAGGAAAATTCTTTAAAATCTTCTTTTCAAGAACAGCAAAACCATAATTCCTCATATTTATATGGAAGAATCCCCAGGTAGTGTAGATTCAAGTTTGTTCAAATCATGACCCCTAGAGGTAGGGCGGGGCCTAACTTTTTGATTTAAACTTTTCAATAGTAAACAAATTTCTACTTTTTCCTAGCCACAAGGCTGGGTGAGCGATGTGGCCCATGGGCCTCTTGTTTCCTAAGCTATTGTTCAGGGGAGCGATGTGACCCAGGGGCCATTGCTAAATTGGGCGATGTTGTCCTGTAAGATTGAGGTGATTATTGTGGTCTATGAATCTGTTAGAGTCTGTGAAAGGACACTCATTCATACTTAAAGGAATTGTTGCTCAATACCGGAGGATTCAGTAACTTTGAATAAAAGATTTTTTAGTAACATTGAATAATTTTATCTAACAAGATTAAGCCCTCAGAAAAGTGCAGTTTTAGTGATAGCATTATGACTGAATTCACATCAAAACTAAATTGATGTACATTTTCTTTCCTCTGGAGGTGGTTACACTCAAAAACATAGTAAAGGCTACCGGTAGTTTAATGTGAGCTTTAGCATTTATGGTCTTGTATAATGTATACTTATAAATAAAGTCATTAGGTTATTGTTGATTTTTATTTAATTTAGGCTATCTAACATTCTGGGCCAAGTTGGAGTTGATTTATACTCATCAACATGATATAGACGAAATGTTGTTTAAAGTAGGCTTACAAGGTTGTGCATCATTTATGCTTATTAATAAAGTTATTGAGTAAATATTGATTTTTATTTTATTCAGACTATCTCACATTCTGGGCAAAGTCCATTCATCAATACAGCAGTGAAAAGGCTCCTGTGTTACTGGTGGGCACACATGCTGAAAGGAAGACGAAAGAGGTATTTGATATTAATATCTGAGAAAGCTTTTACTTCACTTGGGCCAAAGGCTCATGTGAGCTTTTCAGATCAAAATGTGTTCGTTGTTTGTCGTTGTTGTTGTTGTTGTTGCTGTAAACTTTTCACATTTTCATTTTCTTCTCAAGAGCCACAAGGCCAATTTCAACCAAACTTGCCACAAAGTATTCATAGGTAAAGGGAATTCAAATTCAAATACTGTATACATGGTTATTTTTGCCCCGTCTTATTTTCGCCGTTTCACACTTGCAAACCATTTTGCCCCGTTTTAAATTCGCCTAATCATAGTTTTGATTAAGAAATTATACTGCATTCTTTTAATTCGCCCCGTTTTAAATTCGCCCAAATGAGAGTAGGGCGAAAGGGGCGAAAATAAAACGGGGGCAAAAATTTCCCTGTATACAGTAAATGGCATTTTCCAGCAAAATTGAACCTTATGTAAAAGCATCATCTGGATTTGAAGATATTGTTTTTCAAATCATAACTCCAGGGGGTAGGATGGGGTCAACATGGGGGGTCAGCGTTTAACATTTGAATACATAGGAAAAATATTAAAAATCATCTTCTCAAGAACGGCAAAACCATGATTGTTCATTGTTACTTATATGGAAACATCCTCTGGTAGTGTATATTCAAGTTTGTTCAAATCATGACCCCGGGGTACACAGGCAACTTAGCCACATATGATTCTCATATGAGTATCATATGATTCTCATATGAGTATCATATGATTCTCATATGATTGGTTTCATATGAGAATCATAGAAAAAGGGCATCATATGTGAATCATATGAAGCAAATCATATGATTTACATATGATCCACATATGTGAATCATATGAAAATATCTACATATGATTTTCATATGAATGATTTCAGTGTGTTTCAAGCCATTTACATATGAGAATCATATGAAAACGGCATCATATGTAAATCATATGAAACACTTATGTGTGTTTCAAGCCATTTACATATGAGAATCATATGAAAAGTACATCATATGTAAATCATATGAAACATTTGTGTGTTCTTTTTCAATATTTTTCACATTCTTGTACACTTTTAAAAATCAGATATTTCTGCTTTTGATGAAAATTCATTACATTACAATGATCTATCTTCATTGGTTAAATATTTTAAAATATCTTAAAATGCTTACACAACTTTTTGATAAAATTATTTTCATCAGGAGAAATAACTTATTTTTCACAGTGTACATTCTAAACAAGAAAAATATACAAACAAGTCAGTAGCATTTGTCGATACATGTATTAAACATATTCTAACATGAGTACAAATTATAAGATTTCAGCAAAATGATTTAGTAGTTAAACATGTATACTGTACATGTACAAATGAATAACATAATTAGATAATGTATAAAAATACCATATGACATGAAAGTGTCCAAAGCAACATTGAAATATCAGCAATAACATTTGTCATGTATTCTCTATTGTAAATTTATGAAAAATCAAGTTATTGATTATTCCAGCATACAATATGGGAAATCTTCACAGGTCAAATTCAGACAAGATTGTGTACATCCTCCCCATTTCATAATTATTCCTTGTTCTTTTTCCTTCTGTATCTTTCAGTTTTTTTTTCAGTTGTCCTCCCTTTGATCTTCCATGACCATTTTGAAAATCTCTTTGAACTGTACCGTACCAAAAATAAATATCCACCACTTCTCCTTTTCCTGAACAATTTCTTTGTGGCACAGAATGGTCTCTACAAAAATTTCAAAAGTAAAAATAAAATAATTCTTAAATTCTATGAGTTATAAAAGTTACTTAGGTATAATCAGCAAACAAATGTATGCCCAATTCACTGACACAGATATGATACAAGATAAAACTAATGTTATATATGTTATGCTAGGTGTTTTGAGGAATCCTATGATGTAATTTGCAAAACAATTACACTATTGAAAGATATGCTTCTAAATTCATAATAAAATCATAAAAAGCATTTTTTTGTTATTTTGACAATTAAATTTGGAATGTTCAAACAGTATATGTTAATTCAGATTGTCAAAAAATTAAGAAGATTCTGATACAGATACATGTATATTATTTTTGGACAAAAAATACTACAGACAAGTAGACAGGCAGAAAAACGGATATTGTGATTCCAAGATATCCCAAACTTTTGGGAAGACTATAACAAAGTTTATTTAACAGTGTGTAGTTACCTTTACTTTAAAGCAAGCCTTGGATCTTGGGATTTGTTCTTTATCTTACGAGAGGCTGACTGTATATTGAACCTGTAAGACAAATACTAACAGTCTCACACAGTAGATATTTTCTAAGAATACATTTAATTAAAACTTAAACTATCAAAATGAGAGAGTACAAGATTGTAGGTTCTCTATAGTCTTAAATATAACTAACATTTAACCCGAAACTATAGGCACGCACACCATTCACTAGTGTTGGGGGGAAAAATAATTGTCAGTAAATGAATACATAGATGTAAATATTCAATGGATTAGCTAGCTGATGTTCTTTCAACTCACATGCACATGTATTCATACCTTTAAAGTTGGATGTCACTTTTATAATTTTTTAGTTGAAATTCAAAAATCCAATTTATCCCCCCTTTCCCCACAAATTTATTGTATACTATATAGTTTCATAGCCTTTACAGCCAGCAAAATCAATTCATACTTTGCATATTTTAAGTGCACTGGATTAAAATTATAATGTAGAATAAAATTTCTAGAGTATTGAGTTGAGAATTTATTTTTGATGAAGCCATGCAAACAATGTAGAATTATAAAAGAACAAAAAGAAATTATCAAGAAATATTTTGTCATAAAGAGACATTACAGATACTTTGATTTTTTATTTCAAGTAGGCCTATTTATTTTTACCTTCAATATTGTGATGATGCAATCGTCTGTCAAATCAGCTTCAGGATCAATCGCCAGTCTTATCAGCTTCGGGCTCTTTGGACTGAAAAAAAACAGCACTATGACACTGAACTCAGTTGCCGAATGCATCTATAGGCCGTAACAAACATTTCTCATTAAGTTTAAGAAGGAATCCGGACTTGATAACGATCTCAACATACATAACGACATACAAGGTTTCTACTTTGACTTTCATATCAGTACGTAACAAAACGAAAACAAATTCAAGTTTTAAAAAGTAGTAATGCCTTTAGCCTAACCTGTAATGTTTACATTTAATCAGAAACAAATTTTATCTAAACTTACTTACAGATCACAAACGTTAGGTTTACGAGATGCATTGATTTAACAATTACATGCATGATGCAAGTGATAAGAGTATATATCGATAGAGAGTTCATACGCACCTGTAACAATAATGAAATTATATTTAAACAATATGAATCAAAAGTCTTTAAAATATTATTGTTAGGAGATCACTTGCCTTTTCCAAACACCCAACACGTCTGCTGCAGCAGTGACGTCAAAATTGACGTATATTTTCATCCGATAAAAGACAAAACCGGTCCGGAGAAAAATACGGAATTATTTTAATTTTACTTAGCCAAACCCAAAAGATTTAAAATAAAAAGGAAATTAATTTATTCTTTTTTGTCTGGGAAATGCATTATAACAGAAAAAAAAATTGTGAAAGGTTTTTTTTTTTAGAAGGAAAAGGGGGGGGGGGTAAACAGAGTAGAACTTTACATATAATTAATTATCAACAAATTCTTTTGAATAAATGTACATTTAAATTCATCCTTTGATATATATATATATATATAATTGAAATTGCAATTTTACTTCAGTATAACAAGGAAAGATAAGTGAACACTGTTTCATATGATTCTCATATGATCACTGTTTCATATGATTCTCATATGATCACAGTCAAAACCATCTTCCCAAGTCAAGAGTTTCTGATCCGCTCCGCTCCACATAAACCCTTGACCGAATAGGCCGAGTTTGATTGGGTTGACTATGGCGCCATCTAGAGAGATTACGCATTGTTGAACTCTGTTGGCCTCTGCTATTAGCCAATCAGAATAAGCCTATTAAAGAGCCATAGCGAGACAATATGGCTGCCCCCATAGATAAGTTGTTTATGGAAATAGACAAAAAATTCAACATAGTTTTATCCTTAAAACAGAAACAAGCCATAAACGGATTATTCAATTTAAAGGACGTTTTTGTTGGAACTAAAACTGGCAGTGGTAAGTCAATGACTTACGAGTGTGCCCCAATTTTATTTGACAACGGAACAACGTTGATCATCTCTCCGTTAACATCGATCATGAAAGAACAAGTTGAACGCCTGAAAGGACTAGGGTACAAAGCCATATACATTGGAACTGAAGAAGATGACATTAACGGAATAAGGAATGGTCACTATCACTTTGTTTTCGGTAGCCCGGAACTCCTAGTTGGAAACGACAAATGGCTAGACGTTATTAAAAGTTCATCATTTCAAAGCAACCATCGATTAACGGTGGTAGACGGAGCCCATACAGTTGTGCATTGGTAATGTTATTTAAAATCAAGGATTTTTGATGAATTATTTATTAATTATCATCTGATGATTTTTTAAAAATTATCAAGTGAGACGATAAACCTTTCGGTAATGGTATATTGGTAGCTTAAATAGAATACATAATTACTAGTATGTTCTAAAACAGAGCTTTGCAAATTTTTTAGGGGCCAGGGATCTGCGCAGGAAAGCCCATTCAGAGAGTGGTTTTCTCATATTGGAGAACTTAGATCGTTAAGTCTGAATGTTCCAGTACTGGCATTGACAGCGACGGCAAGTCCAACAAACCGAAAAAAGATCATGAAAAGTCTTTGCTTCAAGGCCGATAATGTTGTGATCCTGGACAACCCTGATCGCCAAAACATTAAAATTACGGTAATCACAATACCAAACAATGTAGATAATGAAAAGCTTTTTCACTGGCTTATTAAAGGAGTAATGCAGAAGAAGAGTGACTTTGAAAGACATTTAATTTTTTGTTCCTCAATTAAGGATTGTTCCCACTTATTCTGCATGTTGTCAAGACTGATAGGGAGTACAGAGCTTGTGAACATGTACCAAAGTAAGACCCCTGAATTTGTGAAAGAAAATATTCGCACAGATATGGGAAGTGAAACTGGAAAAATCAGAGTATTGATATGTACTAATGCAGCCGGAATGGGTGTAAATTTTAAGAATCTACATTGTGTTATTCATTATGGGGTACCCCATGACCTAGATACTTTCGTACAGCAGATGGGACGAGCTGGGAGAGACAGCACCTTTTCTGAAGAAATACTTTTGGTCAAGAAGAACAAAAAACTTTTCAAGAAAATTGATCCAGAAATTTTGAGACTTGTTTCATCAGAAAATGAATGTCGAAGGCAGATAATCTCCTCAGCTTATCTTGCTACAGCCGATCCCGTAGACAGCCATTTATGCTGTGATGCTTGCAACAAAAAGTGCAACTGTCGCATTTCACATGCAACTCATCCCTTACATGGGTGGAAGGATGTTTCTGTAGAAGAGGCAATGACTAGAGAGGTTGCTCAAGAAGACAGACTTATTTTGCGACACAAATTGCGTACATATAAGGAACAGTGTCCGACAGTGCCCTCTATTGATGTGTTACAAGATGATAGTATTTCTTTGCTAGTTGATAATGTAGATAAAATATTCTCTATGGAGGATGTCATGAAATATGGTTCGATATGGACTTCCCATATTGCAATGTCTGTTTTAGACATTATAAATGATGTGTTTCTTGATAATGAAATGTATGATATTTCTGAAAACGAAATTGATGACAGTAGTAGTGACTATGATGTTGAATAAATTAACAGAAACTAAATTGTCATTTTAGCATATTTCCAGATATTTCATGGTATTTTTTTCAGGTACATAGGAAACATATTCATTAACGGAAGTACAACTACAATGTAACAAAAAAAAACCTTGCCAAGCAAAAGAAAAAAAGGAGGGAGGATCATCAGGTCCCAATACTACCATTCAAATACCATAATACCCCAAGTCGCCTGTGTGGCGCAGTGGTTAGAGCGTCTGCTCTAGAGTCGCGAAGTAAGGAGTCAATCCTTAAGTCGCGGGTTCGAATCCCACTGTGGGACGTGGAGACTGGTCCTTCGGATGAGACCATATAAACCGAGGCCCAGTGTCGCAGTAGGTGCTGGCACGAAAAAGATCCCTCGCTGCTCAATGGCTCTGAGTGCTGAGCATAGGACAAAATTTGTAGCCCTCCACCGGCAAGTGGTGGCATCTCCATAAGAGTGAAAAATTCTCGAGAGGGACGTTAAATGACAAACAAACAATCAATCAATCATAATACCCCAAGACCATAATCTGAGAACAGACTTAGTCAAAATTTAGATTTTTATTATAACGAATTCTTTAAACGTATTTGCTTAAAAATTTACAACAGTAATTGCATATAAATTTATATTCAAACATGATAAAACAATTTCACCGATTATCTTTTTTTTCAGAAGTTATAACAATAAGAAAGTTTGACTGAGTCTGTTTTAAGTTGATGGTCTTGGGGTCAGCAGATGTTATGAGAGACACAACCACATATTAGCCCTGCATGCTATTGTGCATCTGGCTTTTGTGTAGTTTAACCATTACTGGCAAAATTATTCAGCCCTCTTTGTGGGGTGGGGGTCCTAAGGACCTGCTATTTATTTCTAGAAGGAAGATTACTCTATATAAAGAAACATACTAAACTTGAATCTTCCCAAACCGAGGATCAAAAGTGCCATACGAAGGTTTCCGTAGCCAGTACAAATACATATACTTTTGCATGATTATTTTCATACTATGTGCTAGGGAGCACAAATATCCCAAACTTCAGCAGCCTAATTTTAACACAAGGATAAGTAATTTCATATTTTATTCAAATGTGCACCATTCACAATGTTTTGTGCTATAATTCATCCAATCTAATTAATAATCTAATAGATAATCAACTACAAAGAGAATTTTTTGAGATATTCAATTGAAAACATGCACATTTAACATTTATACTGCTCACATCCATCAGAAAAAAGAAATCACATAATATTGTTATTTTGAAAAGTCCCCAAAATCTATGTTGTTTACATGCCAGTTATTTTTTTTTTAAATCTAGAATTATATCTAATGTTACCAGAAACACATTTTTATCATGGTTGACCAGAGATATTTCATCAAATCATATCTTGAATACACCTAACCTCTTTTCGATGATAGCATATTTTACAAACTTTTTGAAAAATATTTTTAAAAAAGTAACAAGCATCTACATTCTTAGAATGAAATACAAATGGAATATTAAAAGATACTGAAATTTTGGTCCATCTACTTAGAACAAAAAGGGTTGGGGAAGGGGGGGGGGGACCTTCCTTGCTTTACTTTTTTTTTTTACATACAAGTACACATTCTTTTTACAATATGTAATCTCATACATAATACAAGAATAAATGTAGCGTAACAAAAATATATTTAGATTCTAGCAAGTATAGCTCATTGTTGTGAGATGTGTATTGTTTCATCATGTATATTATTAGTAACATTAAGTTTCTTGAACATTCCAGAGTGGTCCATATGTTTGGTCATTTTTTTCTAGAACATTCTTGAACTTTGTGTATGTCCAGAACTTTCCAGTAATATCATGTACTTACAACTTCTAGAATATTCTAGATTTATATTACTGTATAAATATCCTGTCAATTCGATGCATAGATACAATTGTCGTACAAGCATCACTGAGGTATTACTGGGATATAATTTCACTGGGACATTGTGTGCAGCAACGGACACTCTGATGTATGTATTTTTAGATTTTTGCTAAGTTTGTACTTAATGATTTGTATATTACTGTAAATAAATTATTGTTAAGTTTAAACTGTGTGATTGATCTTTGCTGGCATTTAGGGTTATTCTGACCCATAACAGAATTGGGGGCTCGTCCGGGATAAAGAATTTCTTGCACTTTTGCAGTTTATTGTCAGAATTTTGTTGATTAAATTGTTAAATTAAATTATAAGCCAGCAAAAATCAACATGGTATTTTCGGTCACAGACTTTCTTAGTTCACCGAGTGTTCAGGCTTTTGATACGTTAAAAAAGGATGACTTGATCGCATTAGGTTTGCATTTTGGGCTAGATGTTAAATCCTCTCAGAAAAAGCAAGACATTAGAATTAAGGTTGCAAACAAACTAGTAGAAGAAAACATCTTTGAAAAATACGATCTTCCAGAATATACAGTTAAATCAGAGTTAGGCTCTTATAAAATGACAGAATATCAGTTTCAATTAGAGTTAGAGAAAATGCGATTTGAAAGAGAAGAGCGAGAAAGAGAGAGAGAAGAACGAGAGCGTGAACGGAAATTTGAATTAGACAAATTAGAAAGACAAGAGCACTTTGAGTTAGAGAAATTAAGATTACAGCAGAAACCAGAACCCTTTTTTGTCAAGAATGAATTTGATGCAGCAAAAAATATCAGACTAGTTCCAAAATTTCAAGAAAAATCTGTAGACAAATATTTTCCCCAATTCGAAAAAGTCGCAGAGAATCTTAAATGGCCACAACACGTTTGGTCAACAATGTTACAAAGTGTACTGGTTGGCAAAGCAGCTGAGGTATACTCTGCACTAGGGGTAGTTGAGAGTTCAGACTATGAGAAGGTCAAAGCAGCAATATTAAAAGCATATGAATTAGTACCTGAAGCGTATAGACAAAAGTTCAGAAAGTATAGAAAGTTTGATAATCAAACATTTGTTGAATTTTCACGAGAGAAAGAAGATTTATTTGATCACTGGTTTAGATCTAAGAAACTTGATAAAACCTTTGCTAATTTGCGCCAAGTCATCCTGGTAGAAGAGTTTAAGGAATGTGTTCCTCAAGATTTGAAAACACATTTAGAAGATAAGAATGTGAAAACTCTTGAAGAGGCAGCAGTCATATCTGATACTTATGCTCTGTCTCATAAAAAGAATTTTGTATCAAGATCTCAGACTAGCAGTAATTCTACCAATTCAGACACATATAAAAAGAGTGGTTCAGGGTCTCAGTCTTTCACAAGTTCCCAGTCTCCATCCCAAGGTGGTTCTAAGTCCGGTCCAGGACGTTTTGAAGGATCTTCTGGAATAGGGTCGCTTCCTACTTGTAGTTATTGTAAGAAAAAAGGTCATCTGATCAGTGAATGCTTTAAACTTAAGAGAAAAAATGACTTTGATAAAACTCAGCCACATGCTTGTGCTGCAGTTAGAGGTGATAGAGAAACCTTAGGTTCGATTTGTTCTGACACTCCTGATGTCCAGGGTTCACAGTCCAGTTCTATTGATTCTATGGAGGATTATAAGCCCTTTATGTCTCAGGGATTTGTTTCACTCGGTGACTCTAGCGAAATAAAACCTGTCCAGATTTTGAGAGATACTGGTGCTGCACAGACGTTATTGTTAGAGGGCGTGCTTCCTTTGTCTGAGCAGACTTCTACTGGTGGGTCAGTTTTATTACAGGGTGTGGAGCTAGGCGTCATTGATGTTCCCCTGCATAGAATTAGTTTGAAGTCAGATTTAGTTACTGGACCTGTTATCGTAGGTGTTCGACCTACTCTTCCCGTTCCAGGCATTTCTTTGTTGCTAGGCAACGATTTAGCTGGTGGAAAAGTTGTACCAGATCCTATAGTTTGTGAGAAAATCACTCCAGATGTTATGTGCGATGATGAAGATGATGACATTTATCCAGCCTGTGCTGTTACTAGAGCGATGGCCAGAAGACGAGAAATGGAGGCAGACCATACTCAAGCCTTTGACGAGACGACTTCCTCTGTTGATATTGATTTGAATGACACTTTCTTATCTGACCTTGATGGCACTCAAACCAGCATGGAACCACACCATATCAAGAAGCAAGAGAAGAAAGAACTTTTACCAAAATTTGGTGGTGAGGATGATGAGTTGCATCCATTAGCTAGCCAAGGCAAGGACATCCTCAGCCGAGAACGTTTACTCTCTGAACAACATAAAGACCCAGATATCATTCAACTTAGTAAGAGGGCACTTCCACCAGAAGAGGCTACTAAAGTTGGAGAATGCTTCTATATGAAAGATGGCATCCTTATGCGAAAATGGCGACCACCTGACGCTTCCCCAGATGAAGTGTGGCGTGTTGTTCACCAGATAGTGGTCCCAGCTGCTTATCGTCGAGATGTCATGAGTTTAGCTCACGATACACCTATGGCTGGTCATTTAGGTATCAATAAGACTTATAATAGGATTTTGAGTCATTTTTTATTGGCCTAAGCTAAGGAAGGATGTTTCTGAGTTTTGTAAGTCGTGTCATGTCTGTCAGATGGTAGGTAAACCGAATCAGAAGATACCATCCGCCCCTCTCCAACCAATTCCAGCTTTTGAAGAACCGTTTAGTCGAGTGTTGGTGGATTGTGTAGGACCTTTGCCTAGGACCAGATCTGGGAACCAGTATTTACTTACCATTATGTGTACATCCACTCGATTCCCTGAAGCCATACCTCTTAGGAATATAAAGGCAAAGAGCATAGTTAAGGCCCTAACCAAGTTTTTCAGCTTTGTAGGAGCACCCAAGGCAATTCAGTCGGATCAAGGCTCAAATTTTATGTCGGGGTTGTTCCAGCAAGTCATGCATGAGTTGGGTATAAGGCAATATAGATCAACTGCTTATCATCCTGAGTCCCAGGGAGCGCTAGAACGCTTTCATCAAACCCTAAAAACAATGCTGAAGACCTATTGTTACCAGTATGAAAAAGAATGGGACGAAGGGGTTCATCTTGTGCTATTTGCTGCACGAGAAGCAGTCCAGGA